ATCACTGCATCTATCAAAATTCTAGAGCCATTCATGCCATAAAATTGACCCTCAGTACCTTTTATGCTCTCTTCTTCCATAAAAGGCCCTGGCTGTTCTGAAAATGCCCATCCAGAAAGGAATTTGAAGCCAAACCGTAACTTTCATGGTCAGAGAAAACTTGCTCAGGATTTTGAGGTGGAGCCAATAATGGACAAAGACAAGGTCATGCTGAAGGAGCTTTTCTCCAAAGAGTTCCCAGAAAAATGGGAGTATTGATGGGATTTCCTATTTTGTCAGTGTCTGAGATGTGGGTAGTCTCTTCTATAACATAGCACAGAAATTGATATTCAGGTTCATTGAACCTGAGTTAAAAATTATTATGTTCAAGCTTTTCTGATTATAAAAAATATAGGAACAAAAGTTTCAGCCCAGTTGGATTTCTATTGGAAGTATTTTTAAAAGTTTGAGTATTTAAGCATAATTTTTTGTGAACGTAAGAGTGTTCTAGAACCCTGACAATGTGTATGTATCTACCTCCAGCAATCCTAAAGTGGGTATAACAGCATCACATGTCCTCCGCATTAGTATTGCATCCAAAATAATGAACACAAAATTCATAAATATTTGAAGCTCACATTTTTAATGTTTAAAAACTAAGTTAACAGAGTAGTTATAGAACAAAGCTTATTTTATTTCTTTATTTACATCATATCCTTAAAAAAACCTATTTGATTAATTATGAATAACAAAGTTTTGTACTTGTGACTTACTTAAATAATTTATCTGAAACTCATGTACAAAGTTTTTACACAAATAAAACGGTGGTGTGCTACACATACTGGGCTCAGATAAAGTCTAAAACACACTGGACTCTACAGAATGTGAATTTTGTACCAAGTGCTTTTGGGAAAAAATTTACTTAAGACTTTCTATGTTGGCGTCCATACTAAAAATAATAGGCAAACATGCAAGACTCCAAATCTTGATAAAATAAGATTTCTTTTCTGATCAATTTGTGCTAACAGTTAATATTCATGTTTTCTTCACTTACAAAGGTGCCGAAGTTTGGGAAATGCAACAATTGAGTTTTGCAAAAACAAAATCCAATATTCTTTTCCTCAACTTCTGTTTTCATAAATACTGTGTAGTGGTATTAGTGTTAACAGTAAAAGAATATTACCCAAAGAACAATTGTCAATTGGGTGCACTATTACTATATGACAATAATTCGGGTCTATATATTTCTTATTTGTCAGAGCACTACTGTTAAAATAATTTATCCTAATACCATATGAGAAATCAACAGACCTATTTCTCTGATATTTCTCTTTCTAAACAACAAAGTAACATTTTTAGGTTCCAAGTTTACATTGAGAGAACTATGTTATCTGGAAGAGAACGAAAATTTCTCTAATTCCCAAATGAAACCACTATCTATGAAAACAATTACTTTTGATATGCAGATTCTAGGGACTTCTATTTCAGTGTGGATTAACAACTGCAAAAATATACAGCCTCCTATTTATTTACAATATATATACAGATGAAGCATTTCTTGCAATAAGCCTGAGCTGCATAGATCCTTCCTTTTAAGAACACAGATTCAAAACCTGTGTACTGATGGGCCCAGTTTCACTCCCTTTGAGAAAACCCGAAAGGATAATATCTACGGATTCTGCATGTTTTTCAAGCGGTTTCTCTCTTAGAGTTAATGATATTTTTCAGTTGTTAGCCACCCAACCCACAATTTGTACCTAAAAACCTTATATCACCATAAATAATTCACTGTGCATGTTTTCGAATTGTTAAAGAATTCTCAGCTCTGCCTTCCTTAAGGAAAATATATTACTGGCATTGCTAAGTGAAAAAGTCAGTATCTTCTTTATTTTGAAAGTGGCTAGAAGTTTACTTGAAGTGGAATGGAGGAATTATATTCCTGAAATTTAAGTCTTTTAAAGTCTCGAGCCATTGATAAACTAAGGGAAACTAGTGGCTTTTGCTCAGGGCAGAAAATCAAATATCTGATTGTAACACAGATCTTGTCTCCAGCCCAACTCAATGTGCTGTGACCCACTCCAATTATGCATGCACTCCCAATTCAGATCTACTCAAGTGCAGCTGAGCTCTACATTTTCTTCAGAGAAATTTGTATTTCCTTATGCAGTTCAGACCTCTCAGTTTAAAAAGAACAGGAATGACCGCTTCATGGTGACCTCAAACTTGCTGCAGAATTTATTCCTGATGTGAGTGAATGCTGTGCTCCCTCTAAGGACAGTTACAAAGGATATTTTCTTTTGAGTCCCCTCAAAACAAAACACACTTCATTTAATTCAGTTTTCACCATATTTCATGCAAAAATTTCACCTGAAAGCAGATGGCCTTCCTTAACAACTTGCCTCTGCACCAGTATTCCCTGTGAAAATTAGAATGAGATCCCCCACTACTAAGACCCTTTCCTCCCTACGACCTGTTCCCATTCTTGGCCCCCTGAGTCCTAGGAGCCATCCTCTGTAGAATAGTTAATCAGGAGAAAGAAGGAGACCTATTGGCTTAGAGCAGTTCCCCAACTTGCTGGGTGTCTCGACTACCTGGAAGCTGGCTACACTAGCTTGCCGAGCTCTCACCTGGACAGCATATGCTCCCATTCTATATGGGGTTGCTCTTCTCAATAGCATCTCAGAGCAGTCAATCTATTAAGAATGTTGTGTATTGGCTTAATTGCTGGCCTATGGAAAAGCAGCAGCATCCTTCTCTATAGCCACCAGGGAAGCAGGTGAACTCTAGATAAATCGCCCTGAAATAGAACGAGGGCAACTGGAGCCCTCACAGAAGAAGGCGCTCACTAAGACCGTCCCTGGGATTTCTCGACCAGTAAAGCCCTTCATGAGGTGGGGAGATAGAAGAGGGATTACGGTGCTTTTTTTCTCGTGCAGCCCACCCATTTGATCCCTATCATAGTGTCCCCTGAACTCCACCAGGACTAATCCCCGGCACAGAGCCTACCAGGAGTGAGCCCTGAGCACTGCCAGATGTGCACCCAGACCCTCACCACAAAAGCAAAACAAATCAAAACTAATAAAAAAAAATGGGCTCCTTATTCTCTTAGCACCAGGAAGAGGCTTTGAGTTTACACTTCCCTTTACAGACCCTGCTGCAGTCCATATGGGTCACCTCATGGTGATGTCTCTCTACTGCCACTGGCTGGCCTGCAGCTGGGTGGAGGGGTCCAAATTCCACTAAAAAGCAGTGGCATATTCTTGACATCTCTGTACAAATACGTGCTAAGAACATTACTTTTAGTGGTTAGATACTTTCTTGTGTTCTCTGACATCAGCTAAATTATTGGACTCGGGGATCTTCCCTAGCTGGTCTGGGGGCCTAACCACCATGTAAAATCTGCTTTCTACATGAAAATACATTACAGGTCACAAACAACCATTAAAAACTTACAGTTTTATGATTTCATTTGCTTATAAATTGTGGACTGGTCCATGCTAGAAAAGACTAGATTTTGTTCTTGTACACATGTTTCTACCCCCAATTTTAATAAGATTAATTAGGGTTTTACTAGAGTTTATTATAAAAACTAGAGAACAGTTCTAAATTCAAAATACAAAACTGTCACGTTCATTACAGTTGAGCTCTTATCTACCAAAGGAAAATGTGCTGTTCTCCATGGCTAAGATATAATATTGTTTAGTCTACTAATTGAGCAGAAAAAACTTTTACAGAACTTGACTGTGTTGTTTAAATTCTACCTAGTATCTGCAATACATGTATTTTTTTGGCTACCAGTTCACTATTCTGAACAAGAGTAAGAGCAGTACACTTTATAGCTAATCCCACACACATGATCTAATTACTCAGTGATACCTGACAAATAGTAGGGTCTATTATATTCAATCAATAGTAGCTCAGATAAACATAAAAAGATTTTGAAAATCTGTCATATCACAGACATCAACAACGATGTGCCTCCTCTAAATATATTTTCAATGATAATAAAAATTTCTTGTGCTGACACAGAATTCAGAGTTCCAAAAATATCACGATACCTTCTAAGATTTAGCAAATATTTTCTAGAATGACCTTGTAAGCATAAATTGAATTGTTATACACCAACAAGAAAAACAGAAAAATTAGTTTTTAAAATGGAGGGTTGTCTCACGATTTAGCCATTTCATTACTTAATGCTCTGGTCAAGCCTCAAGAACCAACTTTTGCTCAGTTTCTCCCTGCTCATCTAATATGGAAGACTCTTCTGAAAAGGAGAGTGATGGCTGTGGATTTAATAGGCTAGGTATCTAAATACCTGAACTCAGACCTAATATGGATGTAATTCTGGAGCATGACATTAAAAGCTGTGATGATCCTACCAATAAATGCAGGAAATAACCTTGAATTCATCCTCACGGGGTTTGTGACAAAGTGCTCCAATGTCTGCCTTTTCTATGGGACATTAATTGGTAGAAGAAAGGGGGTAGGTCATATGGCTTCCAGGGAATGCAGAGACCTATGGGGAGTTAAGTGGGGGAGGAACATAACTAAAGCCATAAGTGCCCTGAAACTCGGCCAAGAGTCTGTAGTTAGATCCTACTTATCTCTGGCTAGGAAATCTGTGCTCAGTGAATGTACGTGTTTGAGAAATTCAATAAGCATGCAGATCAAATCCAAGTACAGTTTCAAAAAGACCAAATCACAGATTTCCTGTCTTGTGATATGGGCAATCCAGTCACAGGTGAGGGCTCTCTTTGGGGGTATGCTTCTGGGTTTCTTTGCTGTCCCATTGCTTTCCAAGTTACCTTTTCCTACAACTCTCTTACTCAGTCTCTGTGTAGTTTCCTTCTGCTCCCAAGAGTAGAAGGGTAGGATGGGAGTTATGAGGCAACACTGTCCTCCTGTGTGGCTCAAATAGGGCAGGTAATACCCTAGCCCTTGGAAAAGAACAAAAGAGCACAGGCACCAAGATCCCACATCGGGGAAGGAAGGTACACAGTGACGCCTTTCAAGTTCTCAAAATCTCTCTCTGATTGTTCCTGACCTCCCCTGCCCAAGATGGATTAACAGACAAGAAATAGGAATGAGGCTAGTTAAGTACAAAATTCTTGTATTTGTAATAACTTAAATTTATAGATATAAAACAAGTCTTTTAAAGACCCCCCTCCCCCACAAAGTACCCAATATAAAACAGGAATTACTTGTCTTAAATCATCCTTGGTTAGATACACATTATTCTCTGTGCAAAAGCTGGTAGTCATCAATAAAAACTGCTGGGTTTATCATTTAATAAAATGTTCTCCCCCTTCAACAATACGGGTGTATGGATGACGGCTGTCTGCACCAAAGGGGTACTTCCTTAGGCATGCTGTACCCTTGCTTCTCAACCTTGTACCGAGATGCCGCGAATTACCTTGTTGAAGTTAATTCAGACTGAGAGTAACTCTGACACAAATTGCCCGGAGGGAAGCATTTGCTATATTACATAAATGTGTACTAAATCTATTCACCAAGGTACAACTCTTTCTTTCCTCTTCCCAGTTGGGAACACTTGCCAGAGAATCTCTCTGTGTAAAGTGGCATGTAGGAACAGGTGCGGCCACTGAACCTCGTGAGTCCAGCTGCCAGGTGATCAGAGCTGCCTCAAATATTGGGCACACTCTGATCCAGCAACGGCACATGCCCTGACATTCCAGTGATTATTCCTGTGTGCTATGTTAACCAAAATAGGCAAATTATTTACGAAACCATCTTTTTCTGTAAAGCAAAATAAATATATATATATACAATTCAAAATAATTTTCTCTCCTAGAAAGGTACAGAGTGTGTGAGCTAAATATCAGTAGGAAAACTATTTCCAAATCTGATGTCTAATAAATAAACATGATTAATGATTATGTATGTTGTGAAGTTTTGAGCCCATGAGGCCACAAAAAAGTTTTGAACCCATGAGGGCACACAAAAAAGCTACAAAGTGTGAAAACTAATTGTGGAAAGTAACAGAAAATAAGATTGTATGAATTTTAAAAAAATCCTTTAAATGATACCAAATGATGGATGTACATTATGCAAACTGGCCCCTGTTTTGCTGCCAAAGTGGTATTCCATTTTGTATCTTGTCATTTCTGTTTGCTTCTATAAACTTGCAAAGGAAGTGATGAGGGGTTGCTGAGGTGTGGTGTGACTTGACTGAGCAGCAGACCAGAGTGTTTCCTTTCCTCAGTGACCTTCGTCGCTACCGGAAGAGCAGGCCCAGTCGTAGATGACCAAGGGAATGCTGATCAGTGAAAACAACACCCCAAGACCCAAGAAGAGAGCAGCCTAAAGTAACAGAAAGGCATGGGTTACTTTCCAATGTAACAAACATTTTCCCCAAGCACCTGAGAAAAGGACTACAAATGCTAACTCTTTATTTTTATGTACACTTGTATTTGGAGTTGGAAGTAAGTCTTTGGAAAATAAATGCATCGTTTAAATATTCTTTGACCAACAAACCTAGATTATCACTTCCACTAAGAAGAGTGACAAGGTACAGCAGGTAGGTTGGATCCCTGGAATCCCATATGGCCCCTTTAGCCTTCCAGTAATTATTCCTGAGTGCATAGCCAGGAGTAACTCCTGAGCACTGCTGGGTATGGCCCTAAAACCATAAAAAAAAAGGTGGGAGAAAGATCAAATCTATAAGTAAGGTAGATTTGATCAGTGAAATAGGACATGACGTCAAAGTAAGACACGATGTCAAAATTAAGTTATTTCAAAGGTTGCTAAAAGCCACAGGGGCCAAACTACTAATCAGAATTTATAGAACAGGAGATTATAGATTTTCTGGTCCTGAGTGTACAATGGCCCCGTGCCTGGCTGTCCTCGCCAGGGCCCCTTGGAGGGGAGCGGGTTGAGTTTTCCTCCCCGCTCTGACCAGTGCTCCGGCAGCCGAAGACCTCCAGAACCAGCCACCACCATGCTAAGACCACTCTCCGCACACATGAAGGTACTGGCAGAAGAACAAAGGCATGTGGGTCCTGGGGCTGAGATCTCCAAGCCTACTCGGATTGGGGCTGAGCATCCTCCACCCAGATCCTCCAAATTCCAGTAGGCGGGGGTCACACCCACCAACTGACTCCCTGGCGCCGTGTAATCCCATCAACGGCCAAGACTCAGAGACTATAAAACCCAGCTCCCAGAAGCTCATTATTATCTCATTCCTACTTTGGACAAACTGGCAGGCTACTGAATGTAACCTGCCCATACGGCAGAGTCTGGCAAACTCCCCGTGGCATACCCAATATGCCAAATACCAGTAACAATGATGGGCCTCATTCTTCTAAAGAGCCTTGAATATGGCACTTTCTTCAAAATCTCAGGGCTAGGATGAAGGAGACGTTACTGGGGCCTGCTCGAAGCAATCAACGAATAACAGGATGGTCATCGTTGTGATCGTTGAGTGTACAATGAGACTATAGGGAGAACAAAGCCTCAAAAAAGCCAAAGGGGCTACACTGCACCCTAATGGGGAGACTTAGCTCAAGTGGCTGAGTGGGCTGAGGCTACACAGGGTATTACCATTAGTGATCTGATCCAATTCTCAGGGAGCCCAGGTACTCCCACAGGCAGCAACCCCATCTAATGCTATTCAGTAGAACCTGTTTTATTATAACAGTGGATGCCCTTGAACGTTACCAGACCCAGAAACAAAAGTCCCAGTATAGAAAGGTAGTTTCTCAATCTAGGTCTATTGCTCTAAAGCATATCTGTCAAATCATAAAAAAAGAATCCTATAGCTAACTCAGAAATTTTACGGTACCACAAGTTCCCTGGGCTATAAGAAGGAGCTAACATAACAAGAAATCAGACAAAGACAATAGAGGTCTTGGCCAGTTTGAATATTTCTCTACTTCAAATCTTGCTAAAAGACAAGCTATCAATCTATATGATCACAGAACGATAAATACTCAGTTCTACGACTGGAGAGATACTATAGTAGCAAGATGCTTGCCTTGCACGTGGCCAACTCGGGTTCAATCTCTGGCACCCCATCTTGTCCCCTGAGTTGGCCAATCTCTGAGCACAGAGCTAGGAGTAAGTCCAGGTATGGCCTCCAAAACCAAATCAATCAATCAAACAAATCAGTTTCTCAGACGAACCTGTTCTCACTAAGACAATTAGAATAAAATCTGTAAAGATATCCCAAGAGAATGGAGGTATGTATAATATACTATTCTGAATCTCCTAAATTGCAATGCTACCATGCAGTGATTTCTTTTTGAGGCAACTTAAAGTGGCATTAAATGATAAAGATGAACTATTTGGTAACTGTGATTAGGATCTAATCAGAATAATGAGAGCTGTTGGATAATACATACCCAGATCCTTTGAGTTCCTTTATCTCCATCTTGGTTTGTGATTTTTAAATACAGAGATGAAGGAAGAATGAAAATAAGCATATTAGCCGATGTAACTCCTGTAAAATAAGAAAATAAAAAATTGGGGTTGTTATTGTGAAATTTTAAGCTTTTAAAGCTGCTATTGCAGGAGATTGATAAGTGCAAAGTCAAAAGTCATACCTACGACTCCAAATATATCCTTCATGGAGGGTATGAAGATGACCAACAAGTTGATTATAACCAACAGTATGAAGGTAACCAAGATATGACGACATAAATTAAACTTAGTTTTCTTGGCCAGTTCAAATAAAGATGAACGAACCTGCAGAAAAAAAAATCAGTTTTGTTCATACATGTCAATACTCCTCATGGGAACTGGTTTACTGATGCAAAGAAAATTTTTTTTCTTCAGGGTTCCACCTGGCTGTGTCCAGGGGTTACTCCTCACTCTGCACTCAGGAATTAGTCCTGGCAATGCTTGGGAAACAATATGAGATGCAGGGAATAGAACCCGGCTCAGTCACATGCAAGGCAAATATCCCACCTGCTGTATTATTGCTCTGTCCCTGATGCACAGAAATTTTGAACTATTTTGTAATACTTAATGAATTTATCAATAGCTTCACAGTTTCAAAAATAGGGAGATGACTTAAAATGAAAGTATTTTTGGTTATAAATTGGCAGTTCTTTTTACTGGGGTGATAATTTGCTTTTGTTTATCCATGACTAAGTTCTCTTCTGATCCTTTTATATTCTTCCATCAGAATTGATTAAGAATTGAATATTGTATCTACATTTATCTAGGCAAAAAAAGGACAGATATATTAACAGATGGTATATTTTTGAATGAAAGCCTATGAAATATGCCCAGAATTAAACACTGCTCTGCTACAATGAAGATGAAATCTTGCTATTTTCAACAAAGTGGATGAAACTTGAAGAGATTATATGAAGTGAAATAAGTCTGAAGAAGAAAGACGTATATAGGATGACTTCACTCATAGACTACAAAGATACAAAGATAATTAACAGAAAAAACAAACCAAGCCATGGATGATGGTTGCAGGACAGTGGTTACCAGAGGGATGGCAGGGCGACTGGGAGGGACAGGCAGAGGGCCCATTAGATATCAGCATTTTCGTTAGATTTTTTTTTATTTTTATTAATAGTAGTCTTATTTGTGGGACTGGGGCAATAGCACAGCGGGTAGAGCATTTGCCTTGCATGCGGCCAACCCGGGTTCGATTCCTCCGTCCCTCTCGGACAGCCTGGCAAGCTACCAAGAGTATCCCTCCTGCAGGGCAGAGCCTGGAAAACTCCCTGTGGCGTATTAGATATGCCAAAAACAGTGACAAGTCTCACAATGGAGACGTTACTGGTGCCTGCTCGAGCAAATTGATGAACAACAGGAGGACAGTGCAGTACAGTGCAGTGCAGTCTTACTTGTGGGCATGGTGTAGAGACATACATTTTAAGATGTATGAACTTAAGTGTACAACTTAAGTGTCCTGAAAAATGTAATATTAAAGACAAAACTATCTCAAAAAAATCTGATTTAGATTAAAAAAAAGGAGAAATTAATCAAAGTGGGAAATTAATCAAAGTGATGATTCCTCTCACCAGGGGCTTCTTTATCTCATTGATCCCACTTTCTAACGCTGTCTTATTTATTTATTTATTTATTTATTTATTTATTTATATTTTGGGGGTCACACCTTGCAGTCCTCAGGGCTTACTTCTGGCACTGTGCTCAGGGATTACTCCTAGCAGTGCGCAGGGGAAACCCACGTTGGTAGCATGCGAGGCACGGGCTTTGTCTTTTACCATCTCTCTGGCCCAACCACTTTCTTTCTGAAGGAGCCTTAATGTGTCTTGGGGTACTTCCCTGATGTGATATCAATGATGCAAAAAATTCATGAGTAGCTGGCTTTCTCTGAAATGGCCAGAGCTGAAGGCAGGAGAAAACACGAAACCTCAGTTTTTCTCAAATTGCAGGGGTCTTTACTCACCGTGAAAAATAACACCGGCACTGTGAGGATGACAGCAACAATGACAGCCAGCCGCACGGTCAGAATGAGAATGTCATCTTTACTCTGGTACTTGTGCAGGAGATCTGATTGCACAGTTTCTACAGCAGGGGAAAAGTAAGACGGCCTTAAAAACAAATACCACCTGGTTGCTTGAATGACAGTTATTCTGAACAAAAAGCTAATTGAAGAGCCAAGAAAACAATATTCTAGGTGTTGGGTGTCCATTAAAATAATCTATAAAGTTGGAAAGAAAAATCTTATATAAGTTGTGTTTCACCTGCTCATATATTACCTTGGCAAAAGGAATTTATAGTAATTACTAGAGGAGCTACTTAGAGTGAGTAGACTTAATTTATAGTAAATTAAATCTAGGAATAAATCAGGATCAAAATAATGGTTGAAATACAAAAAGTCTCAATTAGAACTTCCTCTACTTGGTGCTCCTCATCAAACAAGGCAAAAATCTGTAGTTTTATAGGCAGACTGTACACCACACAGCACCTTTTCGAACTTTCCTCTCTAACTCTGCTCTCTTGTAGCAGAGGCAATGATGCAATAGACCACTATGCAGGAAGAAAAAAAAAGATCTTCCACATCTGCTTTTTTCTTTAAAAAAATGTATCTAGAGTTAGACTAGCTCTTTCTAAATACATAATTTGATTTTTGAGAACTCTTATTTCAAAGACTACCGAAGTTCAGAATAAATAGTGATTTAAAGCATCAAAAACTCATTCTTTTGATAACAAATTATTTCTCTTTTATCATGCCCCCTTTGGAGGCTTCTCCATGTACCATCTCAAGGTGCTGGGTAAAAAATCCAAATTCCGGTTTGTGCCATAGCTTCAGTTTTGAAATAAGGACCATAACTTATAATGAAATCTTACTAAGCTCCAGTTTCCTTGATTATAATTTATAGTCATTAAAGAGAATGGTCAAGCCTACTTATTTAAACCTGAAATGATACAAGGTTTTGCTATTTTGTCTATGTGAAGGAAAAGAGATTTGCAAAGAAAAAAACCATAGCTTGAACAACGCTACAGTGAGATGTTCAATAAATATTAAATTCTCTTTCTCCCTCCCTGCCCCAAAACTGCAGGATTGTAAAAGGAGCCTTTTTACACAAAAATAAAATGTAGTTTTTATGGAATCAATAGATAGTGCTATTTTCCACTATTTAGAAAAATGGTAACATAATATGTAACTACATAATCAGGGTAGCCTTTCTCTTGAGGCTGAATTAAGAATTTCTAAAAGTTTTTACATTTGTAGGTATTTGTGTTTATGAAAAAAAATCCCCAAATATTTACTACAACATAATGTGAATGTGTGCATTTAAATTAAGTCCCAAATTATGATAAAATGAGAGAATCTAAAGCTGAAGAATAAAAGCTGAACAAGAGAGGATGAGGTATAGTAAACTATTCACAAACAGTAAAAATCACAATTGAATCTGATATTTCACGTTCTTTTCACTTTTAATGTTATTTCTTTAAATATTTGCAAGCTTCTTCTGGTGAGCAATGAGGCATTTTATTTTTAATTAATGCATAGTGTCATGAGTGTAGCATTCTGTTCTTTCTCACTCTCAACATCTGTCTGACTCTCTTTTCTATTAATAGACTCTGACCCAATTTCCAGCCATTAGAAAAGTCTTCTCCTGTATAGTTTTTAACTTTTGGCAATCAAGGTGGTATACTTATAAAATGCAATTTTCTTAAAAATTAGGGAAAATATAGTATATTGAGTTAGTGTTTGTTTCTTTTATTGTTCTGTCTGCATAAACATAGAAAGGTATAATGAAACTGTCATCATTAGTTGCTCTAGAAGAGACCAGAAAAATTAATAAATATTCTTTAAAATTTTTTTTTAAATTTTTGGGCCACATCTCGTGGTTCTCAGGGGTTACTCCTGGCTATGAACTCAGGAATCACCCCCAGGGGACCATATGGGATGTGGGGTATTGAGCCAGGGTTGGCCAAGTACAAGGTAAGTATCCTACCCTCTGTACTATCATTCTGACCCTGCTTTTTTCTTTTTGTTAAAAGTTGAAAGCTACTTTGATATTGATTTTTACTGATTAATTTGCAGTTATCCATATTTATGGACTGGCAGATGTTACTTACCATAGAAAGTCAAGTAACCGAAAATGGCAGTCAAGAAGTACATAACAAACATGGCAAAAAAGGAAATATTTGAAACCATTTGCATCTTCTTCTGTGATCGACTAAAAACAAAGATAAAGGTATTTGAAAATTAAAAATAATATTACTGAGTTTAAGCACCAGCATTAATACTGAACAGTACAAATATAACTACATAATGCCAGACTAGAGCAGACTAGTTGAACTGCTATTAACCCATTTTAGAATAATCTTTCCTTTTTTACCGAATGGGTATTGTGGAAGAGAAATCCATTGACAGTACCTTGAGTGTTCTTTACCATTAGTTGTAAGAATATCAAGTTCTCATCTGAAGGGCAGAATGTTTTTTAGTATTTGTGTTTGATCCTCCACCCCCTCAGAGAGCCTGGCAAGCTACCCGTGACATATTCAATATGCCAAACACTGTAACGAGTCTCACAACGTTACTGGGCCCACTCGAGCAAATCGAGCAAATTGATGAACAACGGGAGGACAGTGCTACAGTGCTATTATATCTAAACACAGCATTACACGAAGAAAGGAAATAAATTCAAGGCTCTTCTCCAAGTCTCAGATATTACAGGCAGAGTTGGAAATGGACCTCAGGTGTTCTGTTGCTAACACTGTTGCTGCTTAGATCTGCTTTTCCCAGGGAGTGTATGTAGGGATGCAGATGAAGTTGGATGTCTCCAGAGCCTTAGTGAAGAAGGGCTTTTATCTCAAATGTTAAGTTTACTCTGAGAGTTTGGATTACCTTTGAGTTTTCTTGACTCTCCAAATAATTAAACTTGTGTTTAAAACTTGAAATTAAACAAGTTCAAAACTTGTGTTCAAAATATTATAGGTACTCATAATATTTGGCTCTGCCATAAGAGGGAGTAGGGAAAACAAAAAAATTAGAAATATAACAACAAAATTTGGGGGCTACAGCCGGTAATGATCAGGGGTTAACTCCTGATTCTGCACTCAGGGATCGCTCCTGTTGGACCTGGGAGACCATATGGGGTGCCAGGGATTGAATCTGGTTTGGCTTCATATGATGAAGCACCTACCCACTCTTGCTTCAGCCCCTAAAATACAGATTATTAAATTTGAAAGGTGTTAGGACATGTTAAATAACCTACATGTAGGAATGATTTGTGTAAATAGATAGCCACAGATATTCCAATTTCTGGCCATGTATCAATTAAATTCAGGAAAAATAACCATGATCATGCTAAGTAAAAAACTTATTTTTTCAAAATAGGAATTGATAGCTGTATAGTATGTAAGAAGTCTGGTAGCAATAGGTTAAAAGAGATCATATGAAAAAAATGTATGAGGAGCCTGTTAGTTTTTATAACAGTGATCAGGAAAAAAAAAATCGGTTGGAACCAGAGAGACAGTACAGCAGTTACAGCACTTGTCTTGCATGCAGTCAAACCTGGTTTGACCCTGGTCATCACTTATGGCCTCCCAAGCATTACCAGGAGTGATTCTGTGCACAGAATTAGGAATAAGCCCTGAGCACTATCAGTGTGACCCTCCCCCCACCAATCCATAATCAAACAAAAAGAATCTGCTGAATTATCTTAGTAGTTGAAAATGAATAATAATATTCTTTGCCTAGTGTGAGGTAGGGTGTTTACCTTGCAATCTGCCCACCTGGCCGTGCCGGGTTTGATTCCTCTGCCTCTCTCGGAGAGTCAGGCAAGCTACTGAGAGTATTTCGCCCACACAGCAAAGCCTGGCAAACTACCCGTGACGTATTTGATATGCCAAACACAGTAACAACCAACACAGTAACAACAAGTCTCACAATGGAGATGTTACTGGGCCCACTTGAGCAAATCGATGAACAATGGGAGGACAGTGCTACAGTGCCTAGTGTGTGGTCTTAGCAGTTAATTATTTCTGTTTTATCAGTCTTTTATACCCCAACCAAAAGGCAAAGCAGATAAACTAGAAATCAGACAAATCTGAAGAAGCACAGAAACATCAAATATCATAAATACTCAAAATTTCATAAATAATACAATCTTTGGAAAACCAAATGAACAAACTCTGTTTTACGGGAATTGTATAAATTTATGACAAGCATACAGGCTGTTGTCTTTTCTTATGAGGTAGTACTTTATCAGCAATAGCAAAGTACATGTTGGAGCTGAGTGTTGGGTCCACAGGGTTTTATTACACAAGTGTATTGATTTGCTGCAGCTCTTGACTATTAATGAGGAATGTAAAATGCTTAACGGATAAAAGCTGAACAAGTCACTTACTCTTTAAGCTCACTGTAAATTGGCAGCACTGATGGGTGGCAGACAAACGCAAAGGCAATAGTTGGTAAAGCATACACAGTCTATTTGAAAGAGAAAATAAAAACTAAGAAAAGGCATTTTCATTGTACAAAAGCTATACAGTTTTGGTACTTCTGGGCTGTCTTTCTTTTTAATCTGACATTACTTCAGAATCCCTGGCTTAGTTATCAGAAGGTCTTTGTGATCTGAAAGAGGAATATCTTTTCTAAGAGAGTTTATTGAGTTTGAGACATTAGAAATTTGGCACAGAAGGGCTTTGTAGTTCCCCTAACGCATCTTTGCATATTTTGCACAATCCAGGCATAGCATCACTTCAGTTTATGGCACCAGCCGATCGATCATACAGCATTTTCCCCACATTATCTTGCTAAAGCCCTACAATAACCTTGAGCAGTAAACAGACCTAACAATTTTAACTCCCTCCAACAGAATTTACTGGCTTTTGCTCTTTATCAGTTTTATTTTTTTATTTCTTATTTTTTAAAAAACAAATCAGCCCTAAAAGATAGCATCAGAAAAAGAAATTTATTCTGGGGCTTGAGGGATAGCACTGTGGGTAGGACATTTGCCTTGCACACGGCTGACCCAGGTTTGATTCCCAGCATCCCGTATGGTCCCCCGAGCACAGAAGTAATTCCTGAGTGTAGAGACAGGAGTGAACCCTGTGCATCACTGGGTGTGACCCCCCCAAAAACAAATAAATAATTTAAAAATAATAATAATAAAAAGAAATTTATTCCATGTTCACTGCTATGGCTGTATTCAAGAAAGACAGCGAAAGACAGAGAAAGAAAAAGAGAGAGAGACAGAGAGAGTGAGAGAGAAAGGGAGAACAGGAGAGAGAGATAAGAGAGAGACAATAAGAGACAGAGATAGTGAGAGAGGAGGAGAGGGAAAAAGAGAGATAGAAAGATAGAGTGTGGGAGAGGGAGATGGAGGAAGGGGGAGAGACAGGTTGAGGCAGGGAGACAAAGATGGGATTAATTGGTTTAGTTTTCTTAAATAAGACATTTAAAAACTCTCAAAAACAGTACGTTTTACTTCTTTTGTGAAAGAAGCTATAGAATCCTCGGTTTTATACATGGATTGATTAAACTTGCACATGGATTCAAATGCATGTTAGATTGACTCCACACTCCAATGTTCCCATATTACAACAATATCTCAATTTTATCAAAGTTCATAAGTGCTGATGTGTGGTGGTCTGTATTTCTCCTGTGTAAACTGTATGTCTGTATTTCTCCTGTGTAAACTGAAAGCATTTGAAATATTCCTTTCTTTTAGCATCAGAGAAGAAACATTGAGCTAGGGTGTTATTAATCTTTTTTACACAAGAATTGAGACAATAATCTACAAAGAAAGTTTCACAGATCTGATTTAAGGTTGTCCTATAGGATACTAAGTAAGAGGTACATGAAATATATACTTCTTAAAGTTCTCTAAATGAATTATAAAATTTGGAAGCCATGGTATTGTGTGCTTTCATAGGACCAAAAATGTTCAAAAGTCTAACTACAAGTTATGAAATATAATGCCATTAAAAAATGCTCTCTACTTATTGCTTTTGGGGAAACACTTGGCTGTGTTCAGCACTGACTCTGGCTCTGTGCCCAGGGGTCACTCCTGGAAGGGCTCGGGTGACCTATGTAGTGCTGGGGATCAAACCTGGGTTTGCATGAATTACAATTATACACTGTACTATCTCTCCAGCTCCCCTTTCTCTTTTTTAAAGTACAAAGAAACTTACCTTTGAATTGAAGGTAACGTACTTCGGCGTACACAGATCAGCATTTGTTAAATTCGCATTCATTGTTGTATTTAACGCTGGAACACCACATGAAATTTGAAATTTCTTATAGATAACCTGATATAACAATGAAGGAAAAGCAATATAGATTTTTATCAAATAAAATGAATTAATGAAATCTATTACATGTGTTGTACTGTGAGAAACTAAAATATTTAAATTAGCACTTACCACTATTAGGAAAAAAACCATACAGCTCAACGAAAATCCACTAGTATAGCCAAGATAGCCTAAAAAAAAGTTGATAATTGTTATTTCATCTATTAATTTGTTTTGAGCGATAGCACAGCAGGTAGGGTATTTGCCTTGCACACAGCTGGCCCGGCCGACCTGGGTTCAATTCTTCCGCCCCCTCGGAGAGCCTGGCAGGCTACCGAGAGTATCTCGCCCGCACAGTAAAGCCTGGCAAGCTACCCATGACGTATTTGATATGCCAAACACAGTAACAAGTCTTACAATGGAGATGTTACTGGGCCCACTTGAGCAAATCAATGAACAATGGGAGGACAGTGCTACAGTGCATTATTATTATGGGCACAGTTTGATGCTTTAATAAAATACATGTGTGCCAACATAAATGCAAGATTTGTTATTTCATAATACTACTGTATTTGACAACAATAATGGCTTTACATTAAAAACATTATGTCATTTGCTATGATTCCAATTTTCCCTAGCAGACTAAAGAATGCAGATTTTGGGCTGGGGAGATATTACAATGGGTAGAATGCTTGTCTGGCATGTGGCTGACCCTGGTCAATCTCCAGCATCCCATATGGTCCTTTGAGCTCACCAGGAGAGACTCTCTGAGCCAAGAGCCAGAAGTATACCCTGATACAGCCAGGTAGGGTCCAATAACAAAGACAAAAAATGCCTATTCTCAGAGTATAGAGGAAAAGAGCCCCCCATTTTGGTCATGTGTCTGTGTTACTATACTGTGATGCAGCTGAAGCAAATCCACTTACTCCCTGGCAGCGAATTATTTTGTGCATATTGAACAATAGGTATAAAAACCTTTCTCCAGATGAGGAGATGAAGTGATTTCTAAAGATAAGTCAAGCACTTGGGGATGTTTACCTTTTACAAAGTGTAAAAGGCCTAGGAGATCTCCTGTCACTGACCACTATACTCTAGAGAAAGCAAAAGTTAAGTGCCTCTGGGGGTTGCTTTATTTTTAATCCCAGAGGAAATAAGACTTTCTCTATTAAAATTGAAAAGCGCTACCTACCTGTATATACATAGACAAGTTCAAAACAAGCCTAGAAACTAGAAAATTAAACTTAGAGAAGATTTAAAAAAAAATCTACTTATAAGGGTCCTGACTGATACCAGGACACGTGGAACACTTGCCTGGCATGCAACTGACCAGGTTAGTCTCTGCCACCACATGGGGTCCCCCTAGCTCGCCCCACCAAGAGTGATCCCTGAGTGGGGAGAAGGAGTAAACCCTGAGCACTGCCAGGTGGGCCCATAAACAAAAAAATAAAATAAAAATATCTACTTATAGGTCTTAAAGAACAGTGACAGACTCAATAGGTTTGCTGGTTTGTTTGTTTGTTTGTTTTGGGTCATAGTCAGTGATAATCAGGGTTTACTCCTGGCTTTGTTTTCAGAAATCACTTCTGGTGGACTCTGGGACCATATGGGATGCCGGGAATTGAACTCAATGAGTTACATACAAAGCAAGCACCCTACCTATTGTACTTACTATCTCTCTCTCCTCCAGAGACTGGATAATTTTTTTCATGTAAAACAAAGCTCTATGGTTTTCACCCATTTTTTTAGAAAAACTTTAATCTAATCTTGAGCCTTGAATACAGCCAAAATCACAGGAAACGAATTTTAGTCTTTACCCTCAACTGAACAGCAATTACTTCATTTTCCAATAACTGAAATGCTTCAAAAAAAGGCACACTTGTCTTTGAATATTAGTACATACACACACACCCAAAAATCAAAACCAATTGAATGTGACTTTAAAATTATCATCACTTTAGATTTTTCACTTGTGTCACCTCCTTCAATGAGAAAAATAATTGAGGTGAATAAGACTTTGATAATAAAAGAGTAATTCACAACATTTCAATGCATAAATCTAAGCAACTTTATATCATGATAGATGATATGAAAAATCTATTGTCTAAATAATCAGGATATTTTAGATATGTGGACATTTAAGTCCATTTTCTAGACTATTCTCAGAGCACCTATAAGTTGTGCTATTGGATACTGTATTGTGGGCGTAAGCCTTCCTGTCTAAAAGCTTTGTAGAGAAATATCTCAGGGAATCATATCCCTCAGTAATGATTTATATCCCTTAGTAAAATCAAGGGGCTGGAGCGATAGCACAGCAGGTAGGGCATTTGCCTTGCACGTGGCCAACCCAGGTCCAATTACCAACATCCTATATGGTACACCAAGCACTGCCAGGAGTAATTCCTGAGTGCAGAGCCAGAGTAACCCTGAGCATCGCTGGGTGTGACCCCCCCACCAAGAAAAACCTCTCCCAAAACCCCAAAAATAAAGCCTAACACTTAAAAGTTTTCACTGCAGGAAACATTTTTATTTGGTTTCGACTCTGATCTGGTCTTGCAGAAACTAGGATAAAAGCCAGATTTTTTTCTTACCTAAGTTCTTCAATAGACACAGAGGGAGGATGATGCCAAAGGTAACTATCACCACCAGCACACGCCCATCCACGTACCAGGCTCTGGAAGGGAGTGAAATAGTTTAGAACATATTTTCTTAAGTGACACTATTTTTTCTCAAATGTAAATTTTCACAGTCTTGTTTAACACCGTTTTTACTTTTATTAATTTATATTATTGCTTATGCTCTACACAAATATATTAATTCAGCCAACACTCAGTTACTATTCTTTCTGTCATGTGATGGAAGAAAGGATATTGGGTTTTCTCTCCTTTCCCATCGGCCTAATGTGGCATTCCTTTAAATTATTTACTTGTTTTCAAAGTTGAATGCAGGCTTTGCATTCTGTTAGATTACAACCTGTCTGATCAATATTTAAAGAGGAAGATTCGTTTTGCTTTGCTTGACCTATTTCAATCAACAAGAAGAAGTCACCACACGAAGACATTGCTTTCTCCCTGATCCCTTGTATTTGACCTTGAATTCTGAGTACAGAACACTAGGAATTCTGGTTTGTACCAGTCTCCCTTGAAAGAAAACAGAAACTAAGACAGACAAGGACTGTTAAATAAGGAGTCAAAACATAAAAGACATGCCAAATGTAGTTGCAACGTTTTCCAGGGTTAGTTGTATCTTGAATGAAGTTAGTTCATGTAAATTTTGCTTCCAAAACGCTATCTCCCATCTTTAAGAGAGAGGCTAGGGTCTTAATTTGTTTTGCATGCTCCACTTCTGTGGTAAAAATACTCCTTATCTGTTCTATTTTACAGAAACTAGATATAGATTGCAGACTCTTGGGAAAGTGCAGTGTCTAACATCTAAAGTATGACAGATGAATCTACCATTTAAGTGCTCACATTCAAATTCTCCCTGCTTCTTCCTTTATACAGTCAGTCCCAAAGAAATTTATTGTTGCAGGAACAAAGGAAAAAGAACCCCTGGGAAAATTTTCTTTCTTTAGTTTTCATAAAGCAAATATTTTGGTTAGCCCTTTAAATTTAAATTTAAAATATTTCAGTTATCTTAGGAAAAAAATGGTAACTTACGTAAATGCTTCTTCCTTTTCCATTAGGAACTTTATGGCTGAGGGCAGTTCATTTTTTACTATAAAGAGGTAGCTCAGCATTGCTAGAGAAAGATGAGAACATTTTTAGAAAGAAGATACCCAGGCTCATGTTACAAGCTATATAAAGGTTTACCAGCTTTTTCTTAGAGTAACCTTCAATAACACACAAAGACAGCTTTAGGTACTCTCCAAGTAATTTGGTTTTGAGTAACTCACTGCTATCTCTGCTTAACTTTCCAAGATCCATTTTAGCAATTATGATGATAATTGTGGGGCTGAGAACTAGTACAAATGGGTAGGGCATATATCCTGGATGTGACTGACCCAAGTTTGATCCCCATTCCCCCAGCCTCGCCAGGAGTGATGCCTCAGCACAGGGCCAGGGGTAAGCCCTGAGCACTTCTGAGTCTGGCCCGAAAACAAACAGAAAAATGATAACTAAAATGATAAAGGCCCCGAGCAAAATGATAAAAATGATAATTATTTTAAAATTCCCGTGGCCAAGTTTGCTCTTTAAGCCCGCGCTCTCTCTTTAACATGTACCTCTCTTATTTGTCTTTCTGTTTCTTTGTTTTCCACTCTGGAGAAGACTGTGTTCTCTCTTAGACACATATTTCCCCCTCATTCTCTCCTCTCAAATAAAAAATAAATCCAAGTCGCCACATGACACTAGAGTCAGAAAAAAATAACCTTCACACATACTTTAAAGTTACGCATAGAAAAAAAATGTTCCTTTTACCTCCAGTGTTCTGCAGAGATGTAGCTCCAAAGATTACCAGCTTCCCTGTGGTGCCAAAGACCTGTTCTCCTAGCTTCTCATAAACCATGCAGCCTATAAAGAAAATGGGGTGGGGATGGGGATGGGAAGAGAAGGGAACCGGAAGTGATGGGTGAACAGGCATCAGGGCTTCAGTTAGATTGATGAATAGGTGGGTGGTACAGCCATGTGCGCAAAACACAGACTGAAAACATCACTGATATCTAAGCCGCAACTGCTGTACCTCTGTAACATCCCTGTCAAGTCGGAGTAGGGATTGGGTCTGTGGAGGGAATCTGGGAACACTGGTGGAGGGAAGCTGACATTGGTGGTAGGATTGGTATTGAAATACGCCTAAGGTAAAAAGGTAAAGGCCCTCCCGTTGATCGTTGATTTGCTCGAGCGGGCCCAGTAACGTCTCCATTGGAGACTTTGTTGTTACTGTGTCTGGCATATCGAATACTCTCGGTAGCTTGCCGGGCTCTCCGAGAGGGGCGGAGGAATCGAACTCGGGTCGGCCATGTTGGCCGCTTGTAAGGCGAACGCCCTACCCGCTGTGCTATCGCTCCAGCCCAAATACGCCTAAATATGCCTAAAACTCAATTACGAATAACTTCGTAACTCACAGTTCTTTTTATAAAAATTTAATTTAAAAATTTTCATAAAAATTTTGGGTTAGAGCGATAGCACAGCGGGTAGGGCATTTGCCTTGCATGCTGCCGACCCAAGTTCGATTCCTCCGCCCCTCTTAGAGAGCCCAGCAAGCTACAGAGAGTATCTCACCCGCTGGGCAAAGCCTGGAAAGCTCCCCGTGAGGTACTGAGTATGCCAAAAACAGTAACAGGAAGTCTCAAAATTTGTTGTGAGACATTAGTGGTGACCGCTCGAGCAAACTGATGAACAATGGGAGGACAGTGGACAGTGTTAATAAAATTTTTATTAAAAAAAAAAATCCAGGGGCTGGAGCGACAGCATAGCGGGTAGGGTGTTTGCCTTGCATGCAGCTGACCCAGGTTCGATTCCCAGGATCCCATATGGTCCCCTGAGCACCGCCAGGAGTAATTCCTGAGTGCAGAGCCAGGAGTAACCCCTGTGCATCACCAGGTGTGACCCAAAAAGCAAAACTAAATAAAGAAATCCACCTAACCTCCCCAAAAGAAACCCTCCCCCCACCAAAAACAAAACAAAACAAAACAAAACAAAAATATCCATGTAATTGAAAAAACATAGTTGAAATTACAAGAAAACACAGTTTTAAGAGTTAAAAATAGAGATTTCCCCATTCTGTTCACTATTTCCCAAGTTCTTTGTCTTTTTCAAAATCACACAAATTTTCACCTTGTAAGGGCAACTTCTTGTTGGTTTTCAATGTCAGATTTTATTACCATTTACCTTTTATTTCAGGTTGGTAAGAAAAGTATTTAATCCAACAATAAGGTTTGTTTTTATTTTTAATTATTTCAAATAATCCTTTTACTTTATTGGAAGGAAATTTCTACCATGATTTTATTTCTGGTCTGCTGTGTACCATTAAAATAAAGATCTAATTTTAAAAATTCTGATGGTTGAGATGAAAAGGTTCCATGTGAAAGAATTGCTGAACTGGTCAAAGGAAAGAAAAATTAATACTATCTCATCAATGCTTCATGTATTTTAAATATCATAACATTTTTAGAAATAGGAGTCCCATCAAAATTCTCATCATCATTTGTAAGTTTAGTTCAAAGATATGCAACGCACAAAGAGCTGCAGCTAAATAAAAAAATAGTTTGGTTCTAACAAAATTCAACAGTATTGTTCAATAGCTTATTTCAATAGATACTAAAATTTAAATTATTCACACATAAAATGTTTATTTTTTTATAATAGTTCAGTTCACAGTTTCAAAATCAAGAAGGCAATATGGGTCAGGCTATATTTAAACTTCTGTTTACCTCTCATAAGGATGGTGTTTAAACTACACAAAGTGCTACAGGCTTAATTTATTACAGTGTCCCAGTTAAATGGAGTCATCTCTGTACAAAAGACGTTGGCCAAATGGTCTTAGCTAACGTAAAAGCAAAAGTATTACAAACATAATCCAGTGTCCCAAACATAGAAGACAAACACTTTAGGTATTAAACTACCCAGAGAACTAGTACACTCTGTTCCACATTGCCTGTGGAACAATATTGTCTCCTTGGCATATGTACAAGAGTAATTGAAGACTTTACTTTTATAGCCATAGGAACTGTAATATAAATACATGGGATCGTGGTTCTGAGTTTATGAAGACCTAAGGAAAAACCAAAGCCTTTAAGATGAGTCTTCGGAAAGCAGAATATCAGGTAAAATTGAGGGTTCACTTTAAATGACAATGCCAGTTGCTCTTTGTTGATAAGAATTTCTCTATAAATAGTACTACAGATTTTGGAGCGATAGCACAGCGGGTAGGGCATTTGCCTTGCATGCGGCCAACCGGGGCGACCCGAGTTCGATTCCTCCGTCCCTTCAAAGAGCCTGGCAAGCTACCTAGAGTATCTCGCCCGCACAACAAAGCCTGGCAAGTGATGTGTTGGATATGCCAAACACAGTAACAATAAGTCTCACAATGGAGACATTACTGGGCCCGCTCGAGCACATCAATGAACAACGAGAGACAGTGCTACAGTGCAGTAGGTCAAAGTACTCTTTTTTCTTTAATGATTAAGATGCTGAGCAGAGAGCATCATTTATTTATAATACCACCATGAACACTTTTCAGTCTGACTTTCATGTCACAAAATAGACATATTCTCAGCTTACCTGTTTCCTTTGAACAGATCAACAGAAGGTTTATTGAATATATAGATAGCAGTGTCACAGAAGTCAGAAGTATGCTGGAGAATAAAAAACAAATTTTCTCATATAACAGAATATAAACCAACATTACATTTTAGGACAAAGGTTTATTTATACATCTAACACTATTTATTGCTAATATCTGAATTTTGCAAGTTATTAACCAAACCTTTGATTTTTTTGGTATTGATTGAGATTCTGTGATTTACTATAATGTTAGTAATGGTTTCTCATGCACGTAATTCCAACATCACAACCATTACCAGTGTACCCACCTTCCTCTCCCAAGGACTCTAGCACCCCTCTCTTTCATTCCGCCCCCGACCCAATTGTGAGGATTAGTTCTCTGGTGTTGTTATCTCAGGAAATTGTTGCTGCCTCGCTGCCACACTTTCTTCTTTTCTTTTCTTTTCTTTTCTTTCTTTTATTTTTATTAGTGAAACACCATGAGGTACAGTTGTAGACCTACAAATTTTTGTGCTTGGGTTTCAGTTATATAATGATCGAATACCCACCCCTCCACCAGTGCCCATTTTCCACCACCACGGGTCCCAGTATCCCTCCCAACCCCCATCCCCTTCTTTTAAATGCTACCAAATAAGGAACTGCTTTGTTCGAATCTGTGCAACTAACAGTTCAAATCTGTTACATAATTCAAAATCTAAATAGCTCACTGGGATCACTTCAGTAGAGATGACTTGAAAACATTATGAAACTGAATTTTTGTACTGTATATATAGTCTTGTCACATTCAGTCTGAGGTATAACAAGTGGATGTGGGAATAGGAAGGAAGGTGAGGGAAAGGTCATCAGTGATCACGTGACTTGGGGCAACTTTCTCTATCCCTAGATTCTTCATTTATAATATGGAGACACAGAAAAATCATGTATAAGATTTTTTTTTTATCTACTCCTGACCTGGGGAGGTAGTGACGAAAATAACAATACAGGACTCTTTCGAGGCCCTGTAATTGGAATGAGTCCACTTTAATTGTCCTATGATTAATTTGAATCAATACATAGGATCACTGAGATAAAAAAATTCAGTATTTTTCTACAACTGGTTCCTCTAAAAGAAAAAGTACATCTTTAATTAGTGGGGAAGTTCTGACAATCAAATGTAATGAAAAGACTTCTTTGAATGATGAAATCATGTTTTTGTTTTAGTACATCTGGCTCATTATCAAACCCTCCTTGAGAAAAAGCACAGTTAAAATGATCTGAGTGATTACAAAGATTATTACTGAATTGTTTGGTAAAAGCAGATACAATGGTGGGAAATAAAGTCAATTTGTTAAAAAGAAAAGAATTCTAGTCCCCAAATGAAACCACTTACTTCCTGATGTAGGGAAATATATCACTAGAACAATCATGAATGCAACAAATTACACATTTGAATAATTAAGGCAATTATTTTTCTTCAGAGAGGCACTTGGCACATCACACAACTCATACAACTCTCTCTGCCGGCTGTCTCCTCTTAAGACCACCTATTGAACCACTCTGCTTCTGAACCTCAGCTCAGAGAACAGTGCCTTTCTTTGCTGTAGGCACAGAAAGTGCTCCTTAGCTCAATAGTAGTCTTAGGGCATTTTATTCCTCTCGTGTGCAGTGCAGTCATGCACAGGTAAGTAGGGAGTACACAGTGGTCAATGGCATGACAGAAGGACCATTAGAGGTTACTCAGGAAACAAGAGCTCAACAGTTTGAAAAAACTAAAACAAACCACAAAAAGGGAGGAAAGGAATGAAAAAACCCTAACAATCTGGGTGAAGGTTAAATTGAGCAGCTAGGAAAGGGAATCAAGATATTAACTGAGCAGATAGGAAAGGGATCAAGATATGATTATAGGAGAGAGAACCTGGGAACGCTTGTGGTGGGACTGTAGAACACCGTAACAGTAGTGGTGATAGTTAGAACACTGTAGGTCAAAAATAAAACTATAAATAACTTTGCAATTCATGGTGCTTTAATTAAAAAAGATTGTAAGGAAGAAGATTCATATATATACATATATATATGAATGGCCCAGTGGTTATATATATATATATATATATATATATATATATATATATATATATATATATGAGACCCTTGAGTAGGAGGGTGATTAAAAGGGTAAGTTCCTTATTATTAATTCTGGTTGATGGACGTGAAAAAAAGTGAAAATTTGAGAGCAAGCATTAACCAATCCAGTACCCTTGAGATATGTGATAGAATTTGAAGTGTCAGTCAGAGAATAAGACTCATAACTGTGATGTGACTTTTGTCCTCTTACAAGACAAATATTATTTATGAAGAAGCAAGCTTGACTCTAACTCAGAGTTTGTTCCTGTTGCTCGGGTCACTGAACAGTAAGTGAGAACTCCCACCAGTGCTATCCTTCTCTAAGGTGACAAGATCGCTAAGGAGCGCTGTTGGCGCAGAACAGAGAGGGGACAGCTGCCATGTGGGGGTCAGCCACATGTGTTTCGAGTGACTGTGCCCCATTAGGTCGATTCGCCTTTGACTCTCTTGAAGACGAGACGAGAGATTAGCTCTGGGCCTCTAATGAATAAGAAAATCTGACCTCAGAGGAACTACATGTCTAGCAGGAAGGAGCATTACTAATACCTACACAATGATTCACCAAAGTCCTAAACTCCACGGACTCAGTACTTACTAATAAGAGAAACATTACAAGGGAAAATATGCCCTCTGTTAGCATCCCTTTGGTTCACTTGGCTCTTGCATGTTTTTCTTGCCTCCTAATAAGTCATAGTGGGTTGACTCCCTTGTAGCTGATGCCCACCTGGTCAGTAACCTCTTGTCAAGAGGTAAAGAATTGCTTCATAAACTTCTACTATTTCTTTGTTTTTCAAGTGGGAGAAAAGTGTTGATCAGGAAAGATGTAAGCAGTTTTCACCTATCTTCTCCACACTAAATAAAAACCAGTGAATACGATCCTCCTACAGTGATGAAAACTCACTTGCTCCCACATTTCAAATGTAATACTGAACCCCAGATGAAAGGACTTTCAGTGAGTCTGACAGCCTCTACCCATACCCCAGTCTCTCAAAATTCTTTTCCATCTTTCCCCAAACACTGAGATTTCCCCTCAAAGATGGAAATCTAGTATAAAACAAAAATCTTCTATCAAATCAGTAAGAGGCAAACTGTATGTCAAACTCTGAGTGCTTTAGGCAACAACAACAAAAAACTAGCATTAATGCAAGTAAAACTGGGAACACCTCCTTGTTTCAATTTTGGAAAGAAGCAGTAAGTTTTCAAAGTTGCTATTAATAGTTCTTGGAATTGTTTGAGAGGAGCTAGTTGAAGATGTGAGAGATAGAGAAAACATGGCATCCAAAAGAAAATGCAAAGAGAAATGACTCAAGAGTGTGCAATGACTTATTCTAAATTCTCCTAGTTTGAGCATGATTATTCCTCTCTTTGACCAACTAGATACTTGGACACATAATTGTGGTTGCTGAGAAAAAGAAACAAGCTGGTGTTCTTGTTTTACTACAGAGGAACCCTAGATTCATGTTGGCATGCCTTTTGGATATTAAGTAAATTTCCACACTGCTAACTGTCATCACTAGTTTTATTATGGCTGAAAAAGACATTTTTCATTGGAAACTAAACCTCAGAAAGAAACAGTTGAATTGTTATGGGTTGTGTATTTCAGACTTACCTTCTGAAAGAGAAAGGGGGTTAGAATATTAACTGGAACAATGGGATATGAAGAAGTGGAGGAAGGATACTGAGTATTTTGCATGATGTGATCAGAAAAATTTTGAGAATCTGCATGTCAACAACAAGATGATTGAAAAGATGAGGTGAGGGATATCCTTGGGCATCGTGTCCCCTGAGAAAAAAAGGGTATTTGTTGGGAGACTAAAAGTTCTAGACTTCTGTATTAGGGAGAAACTTCTAGAGAATACCCATCCAACTCTTCACCCATCACAGGAAATCTCGATGTTGCTTGTCAAAATAGAGATAGCCAGGTCTGAAAGTATGTTCTGTCACGGACATATGGAATGCATGTCCACTACATCTGGAAAATTCTGTGCACTGGAACTGAGGCTAAGCTGAAGTAACAGATACTCTTATGTCCTTGGGTCCCAATTTTACTCTCTGTACCTCTATAAATCCACTTGAAAAGGCTTTCCCCTTTATAATCCCGAGGATGTTCATTTTAAGATTGTGTTCTCTGTCTTAAACAGCTACAATTCTTTCAGCAATGACCCTGTGAAAGTTCAGGTTCTTTACATGTCAGTTGTGGTTTAGTTCTCATCAGTGCTTTTGGAGACTGTGTGCTAAGAAGAGAACAATGCGAGCACAGAAGTTTCAGTCCCCAAGTACAAAGTGAGTAAGATTACGAATTTGAGTTGGGGTTCCCCTTTCATTTAAGGTAACCTATTTTGGCATTCACTTTTTTATGACAGTATGTGACACTTGTAGTGTAAAATAGTTTAAGGAGCCTAGTTCTACAGTGGGCACTTCATTTTTTTAAGCTAAGTGCAGGACTATGTGCAGGAAATAAGATCAGTCTTATTTCCACTACACTTCATCTTGGCAGAAGTGATAACTTTTTAATTTGCTGATCTTTACTTAAATTATTAATTCTTACATATCTTGAAGGAGTTCAACCATTATCTTGGTTCAGAACTTGAGGGTAACTTCATCCAAGACCCTGTTATGGACTGTGACAAGTCAAAACCATGTGGATATGGCCTGTGGTCCAGTCAACTAACTACTGCGCAAGCCGGTCATCCCCGATCATCAATATCCTCTCTCATCCCTTACATCTAATTCACTGCAAGGTTCCTATCACTTACACATGCCAAACAAGCCCCCAAGCCCATGTGCTTTTCCCTCACCTCACAGCCACATTAGTTTCTTGTCAAGACTCCCTTGTCTTGACTCTTTTGGATTAATCTCCACCCAGAAGTCAGATGCTTTATTATGTTTCTAATATTAGACTGTGGGGCAGACCATTCATTTTAAGTTATAGTCAGTCTTTCCTATTTAAATATCCATTTATACAGAATAC